AAAAAAACTATTGTGGCTGCTTAGCCGCAATGCTATTTGGGTTTTTGAGATTAATCTCTTAAAAATTGTGTAGCCAACGAAATTTCTTGGTGCTAGAAAGTTTAGTCAAGTCAAATATCATAGCTGCATGCCAATGCAGTTTGGTTCAATAAGTCGGAGAAATTCACTTGTTAAGTATATTCTTGACGTACGTTATAAGTTTGAATTCTCCATTCTATTTCCATATTCGATTATTTAAAAAATTATATTACTTGGGGCTACCCATTCCATTTTTATTCCAATTTGATATAGACTGCTTTGTGCTCACATATTCTACTTGGATATTCCGTCTATTCAAGTTATTGCAATGAATTTTACTTACAAAAGAGCAAATCAATATTATTTTAAATAATACACCTTATTATATAGCTAGTGCAGTTTAAACCTTCTCTTAATTAAATATGACCAAGAATAAAACTGTGGGGCTGGGGTTGAAAAAGATATTACTCCATAAAACGTGTTAGGTATTTACATCCTTTATGCCAACTTTATACTAATACGAAAGGCAAGGTTGGGGGGTTAGGGGGGTAAAACCTAATTATATATATACACACAAACACGTATGCATTGCGATATGTCATAAGATTTAAGGCACTATTATCGGTGTTTTTTCTGTCATATTAAAATTATAAAGTATTATCACTTAAATATATTATTACAAAAAAAACATGTAAATAATAAACGAGAAAGATAAAAGACATCCTTAAAGCTTATAAATAATTTTAATATATAAATAAGTAAACCAATTACTTGCTCTTTAAATTTAGTTAGGTATCATAATCTTAAATGATTGATAAAAACAAAAAACAGAAGAAGTATTATGAACCCAAAGGAGGCTTTCTTGCGTGGAACACACTGGAAAAACGCAGGCCAATTAAATGTGGAAACATGCTTGATCAATAAATGCAACACTATTGTACCTCATCAACTTTAGTTATTGAATCCATCTTTCCTTTTGAATTAAATTAATTAACTTAGAAATGATCATATAGATTGGACGGAATATTTAATGAAAGTAAACACATAAGAAGGAAGAATCAGGATGGCATATGAAGTTGTTTTTGACCACACACTGAATTTTGAATGGAAAGATAACAAAATGTCGGTCGAAATATGTTATCATAACTTAGATTCCAAGCGTTAATTATTGTGATGGTTACTAACAGTCTAGTCCTCTCACTTTATTGTTAATATATAGAGTCGATTATTAATTGAAACGTGTTCCTCTATTTTATGCTATTAAGCTGAATAATGATTGTCATATAGAAACTCATTAATAAAGAAATGCACCGCCATTGCCCACATATTTATTATTCTTAATTATTTTTTATAAAAATAAAATTAATATGTACTCCTTTACATAACTTCATTTTTTACGAATAATGTATTTTTAGCTAAGATATTTACAAATATATTATATAAAATTTGATATGTATGATATATATAGAATATATAAAAGCTGGACAACAATCTCCTTAATTTGATAATTTCCAACTCTTTTCTGAAGAATAAAACAAAACCACTGTTTCTGTTGATAAATTTAAGCAAAAGAGTTTGAAACCATAGCCTGAGATTTGTTCTAAAATATAAAACACACATACGTATAAATAAATTTGGATAGGAAGTTTCACCGAAAGAAGGCACACGTGATTGGGGCAACATACTATATGATGTTGAAAATCTTATGAAAAATTTGGTGGTTCTTCTATCTTCATCGTCTTTTATCTCTCTCTCTCTCTCCCTCCCTTTTGTATAGCAAAATTTCATTTGGTTGCCTAAAATAATAATGTTAATTCATTTTTTTTTCTATTCTGCATTTGTTTGTGCTGAATGCTTATAATATTATAGCGAAACTCAAGTAAGTTAATTTTATTATAAACCCTACAACTTGATACCCTTGAAAATACATAAAACTAACTAACCAACGATCACACTGTCATTTTCTTATCGTATATATAATGTTTACTTTATATGAAAATATTTGATAGAGATAGGGATACTACATTCTGTGATTAATTATGTGCTATATAAAGAGTGAAAAATATAATTTTTTTTATATAATTAATAATTTAATTCTGATATTTCTCTGAGAAAATCGTTATTTCTAATAGCAATGATCTTCTCCAATTCTTGAAGGCAAATTAAAATCTTATTGGTAAGTGCAGTTTGACATTATGGCGTCCACATCATTCATTACCAAAACCTCATTTAATGTACATGTAATCATCAAATTCATTATCTGATTACCAAATATTTGCTCTTTTTATTTTCTTAATTATTAAAAAAGTTAAAAGCCGTTCCTCCTTTTGCGGATTACAGCCACATTTCTAATTTCTCTTGAGAGACAGTATTGGAATATTGTACTCTTTGTCCTAATCCGAACTAGAATGTAATTATTGTGATGTAAACAGAGACATTGATGTTGATGATAAGAACAAAACAAAGTCACAAACAGTAGGGGTGGAAAGGAATTTGGCATTGCCATGATATATTTAAGCAATCATGTGATTAATGTTTTTAAAATAATTGTTTATCATTACTAATGAGTGGACTGTTAATAATGCTTCCTCAAATTATTCACGATTCTATATTTATCATAAGTGCTATTTTTTACGACTGTAATATTAACCATTTTTTTGTTTTTAATGGAGTAATATTCACCAATTTTGTAAAAATTATGGACGAATTTCTCAACAATTTACAGCATCTAACTGCCTATTTATTTTACATTTGAATAAGATTAATTTTTGAACGATTTAACATCATTGGGATATGTGTAAAATTTATAGTCACACATTTTATATTGAAAACGTGTCAAAATATGTAAAATTAATTATGAAATGTAATGAATCGAAGTCAATCTGCCGGTCGGTAATAACTAATTTTCATTTAATATTAATGTAACTGCAGACAAATTTTTTTAGAACAAACAGCACATTTAGTCGGGACATAACTGACTTAAACTGAAAACTAAATTCATAGTTTAATTAACTGAAATGATTTTATTAATTCCAATTTTTAAAGTTAAATTTAACTCTTGCTAATCAGTATATTAAAAAATGGTTAAAAAATTAAAAATAATATAGAATAGATTAGAAATTAAAAAAAGTACAGTTATTATTTTTTTAAAAATCATTTTTAAGTTTTTTTAATCATTTTCTGGTGGTATTTTGGTATCTAATTATCCTTGTCCACTTAATGATCTGGAAGGCAAATGAATTTCTTCTTGGTATGTGGAATTTGACCATATGCCTCCACTATTGGTGCTTTGCAATCATCAAGTTCATTTTCTCATTATCCGATTACAAAAAATATGAAACTCTAGCTTCATTGTTTTTCTCTTTTAAAAAAGAAAAGGTGTTCCTTTTGCGGAAAACGAGCAGAGTCATAAATTGGAACGAAAAAGTGGTAATGAGAGAATTAGAAGGAAGTTGAAGAAGCAAAGAATAACAGAGATATTAATAATGATAAGAACAACAGAGAAGGAGTGAGATTTGGCACGGTCATCTGTCTCACGTGGGAATTAAATTGGTTTTGCCAAAGGAGCCAAATGCCTTGGACGCCGGCGAGGCATCGTTGTCGAGACCCAACATTGGTACCAGAAATGGGTTTCGTGGTTGGTCGACGCGTATTATCTTCCAAAACGAAAACTACCTCTCTGCTTCCTTCGTTGACATGCTTGGTCCCTCACCCACATTTCCTTGCCCCTTTTTCTGCCTATGTCTACGTGACGTGGACCCCCACTCTGCCCCCTCCTCCCCCTACACCACCCTGTTCTAACTTTTTCTAAGACCCCCAGTTTTCATTTTCTTCATCATCAAGTCTTTTATTTTCAATTCTTTCATTTGTCAATTTAGTTCGATGAAGTTCTATTCTTTTATTTGTTTTATTAGTCTCTTAGAAATGGTTGTCAGTGTATATATATATATATATATATATATATATATATATATTGGATTACAAAATTGAAAGATTTCACTACACAGGATAGTACTACTTTTTGTATTTGGCTGTTTCCTTTCTCTTCCGTGTGCAACTGTACATAATAGCTCGTGAAAATTATTGCTATTTGTTTCAGTCAACTGTGTTCTTTGAAGACCAAACCTACGCCTCCCTCTTGTTCTCTCGTCACCAAAGTTGTCATGCATTTCATAAATCGTAGATTTTTTATTATTATTTGAGATCATGGAATTTCAAAGTCGTTTTTGTTAACCCATTATGCTTAGTGTTATTAAACTATTAATATATGATGACGTTATTAAAAATTATGATAAGATTAAATGCTTTGTTTTTTAACATGTGAAAGTTACATTATACGCTTGTTAATTTGAATCAAGTGGACGAATTAATTTAATAGAACAAAACTCTACCAATATCTAATTCACATATTTAAAAAAATTGATAATTTGATTTAAGAATATTTTTCTCTGTATTAAAAACAATACTAGAAGAAAAGTTCTTAAGTAAGAACTTTTAATGTAGACACCAAAGTTTGTTGTCAAAGAAAAGTTCTCAAAGACAATTTAAAGAACACTTTAACTTGCATATGCAAAAGGTATTGATCGAAATCTGTTGTTTCTTTTTCGTGTCTTTTCCTACATCGATCCCTTTAATTAAATTAATAACGACAATTGAACAGAGCAGTTTTTATAATAATACTTTCTCTTTTACTTGTTAGTTTTTATTAAACTTATTATTATTTAATCAGTGAAAAGACACACTAAAAAAAACGGATGAACTCCACACAGAAATAATGAATTTAAATTATCAAATATTTTTAATTACTTTAAAATAAGTTTATATTTTTTGTTTTTGTCTTAACTAAAACTCAAGTATATAATATCGTTCACACGACGTGGGTCCTACTTAGATGACCTGGCATAGGCTAGTGTGTAGACACACACGCCTCGGTCCCTGCTTCTTCTATATAAACTCTGTAACGTGCACTCGTCTCTCTCACTATACCATCAAGACCACGAGTTCTCTATCTACTTCTTCTAAAAGAGTAACTCAATTTCAGATACTCTCTCCACACCATTTTCTTCCCACTTTCTCCTTTGCCTTTTCTAACTCACTCTTCTTCGCTTAATTAATTCAAGAAGATGGCTGTGGACTCTGCTATTTCGTCTCCATTGGGTCCTCCGGCATGCGAGAAAGACGCCAAGGCACTGAGATTCATTGAGGAAATGACCCGAAACGCTGACGCTGTCCAAGAGAGGGTGTTGGCGGAGATTCTCACCCGCAACGCCAACACAGAGTACCTTAAACGCTTCAAACTTGGTGGCGCCACCGACCGAGAAACCTTCAAGTCTAAGATTCCTGTCATCACGTACGAGGATGTTCAGCCAGAGATTCAGCGAATCGCCAATGGCGACCGCTCTGCCATCTTGTCTTCTCACCCCATCTCTGAATTCCTAACAAGGTATATAACGTAATCATATTCTCATATGCAATTTTATTTTTTTTTAAGTTTGGGAACTGAACCCAATTTGGGATTTATGTTGGGGAATCCGAATCTGCAGTTCTGGGACTTCAGCTGGTGAAAGAAAACTGATGCCCACAATTAAGGAAGAGCTGGATCGTCGCCAACTTCTATACAGCCTCCTCATGCCAGTTATGAACCTGTAAGTTCATGTTCCAAAATAATTGCAACAATTTTTTTAAAGTGTACCAAGAAGATGTAATAAAAAGTTTTAAATAAAAATATTTATTATCTTAGATCATGAGAAATAAAAAGAGTCTTATTCTTATCTGTCTGTGTCTAATTAATGTCAGTTGTCTTTACTCGGCAAACCATCAATTGCTCGAGAAAAAATTATAATTTTCATAAACAACGGTTAAAATTAAGTGCTTAAAAAAAGAGAGGACTTGAGAACTTAATTGATGATATTCTGACAATGCTTAATTATTTTTGAATGGAACAGTTATGTACCCGGGTTGGACAAGGGAAAGGGCCTGTACTTTTTATTCGTCAAGTCCGAAACAAGGACCGCGGGTGGGTTACTGGCCCGACCCGTACTCACAAGCTATTATAAGAGTGAACATTTCAAGACCCGACCGTATGACCCGTACATGGTCTATACTAGCCCTAACGAAGCCATCTTGTGCCCTGACTCCTTCCAAAGCATGTACACTCAAATGCTCTGTGGCCTCATGGAGCGCAACCAAGTCCTCCGCCTCGGCGCCGTCTTCGCCTCCGGTCTCCTCCGAGCAATCCGGTTCCTCCAACTAAATTGGCCGGAATTAGCCCGTGACATCCGATCCGGAACCTTAACCTCTCGGATCACGGACCCTACATTAAGGGAATACATGGACAAGGTGATGAAACCCGACCCGGAATTGGCCTCATTCATGACACAAGAATGTTCGAAAGACAATTGGGAAGGAATCATTACGAGGATTTGGCCCAACACCAAATACTTAGATGTCATCGTAACCGGTGCCATGGCTCAATACATTCCAACTCTCAACTACTACAGTGGTGGGTTGCCACTTGCATGTACAATGTACGCTTCCTCGGAGTGCTACTTCGGACTCAACCTTAATCCCATGTGCAAGCCCTCCGAGGTTTCGTACACTATCATGCCAAACATGGCATACTTCGAATTCCTTTCTCACGAAACCGGGTCCACTCAATTAGTGGACCTAGCTGACGTAGAAGTGGGAAAGGAATACGAATTAGTGATCACAACCTACGCCGGGCTGTATCGATACCGAGTGGGCGACATCCTCCGAGTCACCGGGTTCCACAACTCGGCGCCACAATTCCACTTCGTACGGAGGAAAAACGTGTTACTCAGCATTGACTCGGACAAAACGGACGAGTCAGAGTTGCAAACAGCGATTGAGAACGCGTCGAAGCTTTTGGCTGAGTTCAACACGAGCGTGGTGGAGTACACAAGCTATGCAGACACAGAGACGATTCCGGGTCACTACGTGATTTACTGGGAGTTGTTGACCAAGGACTCGGCCAACTCGCCGAGTGAGGAGGTGCTGAATCGGTGTTGTTTGGAGATGGAGGAGTCGTTGAACGCGGTTTACAGGCAATGCCGTGTTGCGGACCATTCGATTGGGCCTTTGGAAATAAGGGTTGTGAAGAGTGGAACCTTTGAAGAGCTTATGGATTATGCTATCTCAAGAGGTGCATCAATAAATCAATATAAGGTGCCAAGATGTGTGAATTTCACTCCTATAATGGAGCTTTTGGACTCAAGAGTGGTATCTACCCATTTTAGCCAAGCTTTGCCACATTGGACCCCTGAAAGGAGGAGGTGAGTTTCTTCACATGTGGGCTTAGTGGGTTTGAGTCACACACCTAGATGTAGATTTTGTTGCATTTTTTTGCTAAGTTTATTTTTTAGACTTGTGGAGAGTCTAAAGTATTTTGGATTAGGATGTCTCTTCCTTAGGTTAATTATGTATTTTGGTTCGATTAACTTGTGCAAAACATGTGACATTTTCTTAAGTAAATTTGTCTAATGTATTTACTTCTCATTTCATGTAATAGATAAGGAGACATTTTATTTTCAAAACTAGTGTTTAATTCATTTTCCGCCGTTATCCAATGTATATCATGTATCCATTCCTCAATGGGACATTATCGTTAGATAAACATTGTATAACCATTAAAATTAGTTCTAATAAATATACTGAATTTTCATTTACTATACATATATTATTAACTTCAACTAAAATTTCAAATAAAAAACAGGAACATGATACATGAACTTTTTTAAATTTAATAAATTATAAATTAAATAGGACTAATTTTTTAAAATATTTTTTTATAAATAACACAATTTTTGTATTCTATATATATTATTCTTATAATTATAAAATTAACATAAAATTATAATAGATAAATAAAACAATAGAGAAAGCAAAAGTTAGAAAAAAAGTGAGAATTTTAATTTTATTTTATGCATTTTTAATATAAATAAAATGTTTTATTTATAAGTCTAAATTTGTAACTCAAGAGTTTTATTTTTTTAGTGCAAATTAAACAAATAATTACATTTTTTAAAGATTTTTAAGAATATGAAAAGACATAAAATGGATATTTACTCTTAATAATTTATAACACTCCTTTTTAGATATCCATTATTTATGAATGTATTTTGTTATAATCTTACCGTAAAAAATCCTTTGAGATAAAAACTTGACGTAAGAAAAAATATATAATTTTTTAATACGTTATTAAATATTGTCTCTTTAAAATTTTTATCAAAAATATTCAATAAAAAACCACAAAATAAAAACAAGAGTGCATACTATATTTAATTATTTTTCTTACATAAATAATCATTTTTAAAAATATATGCTCTCACACGAAGAATTTGTTAAATATTTATATCATCGTTTTTTTAACAACTATGAGTAAAATTTTTTTTGAAGAAATATATTTTATTTTATCTTTTTAATATACACTTACTTTAATTAATTAATACACACATTATTATCTTTATATATAATTGTTTGAGTATTTTTTAGGATAAAACATAAGTTTTTCACACGTGTTAAATGATATATTTCGACTAAAATCATTCTTAATTTGCCTTATATAATACTAACATTTCTACATTATTAAACTATGTACAATTTTATAAATTATTATAAAATTATTGTATTATATCATATAAACAAATAGTCTATTATATTAAAAAAATTATTTTTTAGTCATATAAAATTAAATATTTAAACACATAAATTTTTTTTTTCTTACACTTTTTCATTTTTACATAATATTTTTTACCAAAACAAACAAAGGATAGGCTCACGTTGCGGATCTACTCCTTTTGTTATGGACTTTTCTATGGGCCAAAGTCCAAGTGAGTGTCACATAGAACATTGGTTTGTCTTTGAACGAATCTTGCGATAATGGTGATGATCCCTTCTTGCACATAATCTATTTGGGTCTGTGAACTGTTCTGAAAAAGCACTTTTGGATCATATCCATTATGACCTGATTCTTTCTTGCAAGTTTTGGACATTAGACAAAGAAAAATGTAATTAAAAATTTCATTATCAAAAAAATTATGAATTTTTTTTATTACGTGACATATTTTGTAATAAAATAAATTAAAATTTTTACTCATGTTAGAGACAAAAGATTAATTTTTTTTGTAAAAAATAGTTTTGTTGTAGGGAAAAAAAGTGTATTATATTACTGATTAACGTATATACATACTGTGTGGGCGAAACTTACTTGTCTCAAAAATAAAAAATAAAAAAATTTTAAACTTTGTTAAGATTGAGTTATTGAATGGATTAATATGACTAATATTTAAAATAATTAAATATTAAAAGAAAATTTTAACACTTTTAAAGATTGATTACTTATTTTAAAATTTTCAGACATTCTTACCTCTATTTGTTTCATAGGAAAAAATAAAGAAAATAAATTAATTAAAAAGGAAGTATGAGAAAATTTTGAATTTCTTTTAAAAAATTCAATTTTTTTCTTCTTTCTTTAATCAAATAAAAATATATTATTATTTATATTTATATTTTTTTTATTGTTTCTCTTGTTCAAGATCCATGACAGTGCACTCTTTTGCCGTCTTGTACGCGCACTCTTTTCTTCATACTGCACCCGTACCTCTTTTCTATCTCTCGAACACTGCACTCTTTATGTCATTGTTAAGTCGATGCTTGGTTTTAACTTTTATATTACATACAAATATTAGAATAAGTAATAGTATCCTTGAACTTATTATATTCGACTAAACTAGTATTTTAGTCCCTGAGAGAGTTTGAGTCCAATATTTTAGTCCCTGAGACATTTAAAATTTCACGTTAGTCTGCAACTTCTTTCTCCGTCATGCATTTTAGTCCTTGACGTTAGACCCCGTTAAGAAACCATCACATAAGGCTGAGCTATCACGTTAAGTACTACGTCAGAATCCTAGTTGGCAGTAACGACGTCGTTTTAAAAGCTGACGTGACACAAATAATTGCAAAACGATGTCGTTATTATTGAAACTTCTTTTGCCCAAATTGAATCAAACATATCAGAATATATGTTGCACCTTTGGTCTTTTTCCACCATTAGTGTTGGGGTTCATGGTTGTAATTGGGTTACTTGATTTTGTTGGGTTTCTTCCGTTCCTCTATTATTGGGGTATTTTACTTCTATTATTAGGTTTCTTCCTTCCTTGCACGATTTGGGTTTCCAATACTTTATATGGCTAGTAATAGCAATAGAAGCCCTCTGATGAGTTCTGCTTCAAGGTCATCATTAGAACAAAATAAGAAATGAAATGGCAAGATTTGTCATTGTGGGTTGAAAGCAGCTGTTAGAATTTCACAAACAGAAGCTAATCCTAAAATATTGTTCTTTGGATGTCCCAAATATATGATAAACAAAGTTAATTTATTGTTGTGTTCAATTGTCCTCTTTATCATAATTTAGAAAGAATGGTCAGCACGAGTATAAGAAAAATGTATATGGGTTTGCTTAAAATATTAGAAGGTGCTGTTGTTTTCTATCTGAGTTATGATATAAGATACTTTGAGCAAACCCATATATATTTTTTTATACTCGTGCTGACCATTCTTTCTAGATTATGATAAAGAGGACCGTAGCAATAGGATCTTTCACCTAGAAATTTTCTTATGCATAGGATCCGTTTAAGACGGCAAGTGCAGGACATACTTTTTTCTAGTCAGGGACTAAAGGATAGTCATTATAAACAAAGCTTTAAGAAAGAGAATCTTAGAATGAACTCATAATGTTTAAAACACACAAGTTTTATTTCATTCAACTCTTGCCTTCAACATACAAGAGATCTCCCTTATATAGAGGAGTTAGGTATAATAAGACAAACAAAGCGATTTTATGATTATGGTCTCTGGTTGATAGATGATTATGCACTTGAGCTTCCAATAGGTAGGTTGTGATTAAAGTAAAATATGACAAATTGTCCAATCAAAATAACTATTCCAAATAAAACATGTCTAAATGACACAAGTCTTACATAATACAAACTTGTTACATAAAAAATAATGAAAACAAGTGACATAATCACAACAACTCATTATGCAGTCCTAATTTTAGGTGTTGGCATGAATTGTACAACTTTTACAGAGTCATCTCCCTTTTCATTTGGTGAAGATGGTGGTGGACTTTGCTGAGGTGATGTGAAAACATTTGTAGTAGATGACTCTGTTGGTACTGACATGCATGGGCTGTCAACTTCAACTTATTGGTACTAATTGTTGTCATGATGTTGCATCGGACTTCTTCCAGCATTTTTAATATTGGCTTACACCTTACATTTACAATATTTGAGTTGAAAATCTCGTAGTTATTGTCATAAATGTTAACCATCTTTGGCCATTCACTAAAGTATGCCTTAGTCCATGTTGATCTTGCACATTCTCATACAAGGTGCTTCAAGACTTTATCCTTCCATTGCTTACAGAAATTTTGCCATAGATGCCACACACAAAACCATAGTGTGCACCTAGTATCACTTCTTGCAAAGTTGGAATCAAACCCTGCAATAAAATAGAAGTTCATTTTGGTCTTTAATAGAATAAAAATCATGCAATTTAGTCCCTAACTGATTTATTATCCATGCAATTAAGTCTCTGTCAATTCTAAGTAATGAATAACTTCATTCTACGTAGATGTTTACCCTTCTGGAAAGAACTTCTAGTGCTATATAAGCTGGAGTTCCAACAATTGATTTGGGTCGTGAATGAAGCAAAGACGACTAAACTACAAATAACAAACATTCAGAAATATAAAGGCTAAAGAACATATTATTAGAATATAAAAACTAGATGTTATTTAATCCAATACCTTGGGTGCAGGGCTTCCATCTAAGAGGGTATTTTCTAGCTTCAAATCTTTGAGCCCTATTTGCTGCAAAAGGAGAGTAAAAGCATAAATTCTCACTTCGTACAATTTTGACTACAGGAAGTCCAATAATTTTTCAAGAACTTGAGGATGATTATATCATGGCATGATAGTAATGGACACTAGAAATTAGCTGCTGAAAGAAATATCTAACCTGAACAATCAAAGGGAAAAATAAGTGAGATATGGCTACAATATTAATGGCACTAAAATTGAAAGAATGAGATAAACCAGAAAATTCAAAGAATAACCTCATCTTCACTGAACCTTCCAGCATTGCATATCCTCTCAAATAACTCTCCTCCAACTGCATACTTCATTACTATTGCTAAATGAGTAGGGGTCAAAACCACCTGCAAAATCAAAGCCCCATTGAAATGTGATCAAATAATTAGTTATGTAGAGTATTTAATACAAAGTGATCCAATAGGTAAACAAATAAAGTCCTTACCTCCTTGAAACAAATTATATTGGGGTGACAAAGAGACCTATGGTTGATAATCTCGCGAGCCACATTCTCATCAATTTGAAAATGGAAGACACGGGAAAAACTTAAAATCGAATGTAAAACTTAATTGTCTGCATTTACAGAGAAACAATTATAAAAAAAGTCAGCATTGATTAAAGAGAAAGAAAACAACTAGGGTTCATCGTTTCTAAAACATTGAACAATTAGAGTTCTTCGTCCCCAAACCTAAAATGACTCAATGAATTAAGAATTTTTTTTTTTTTACTGAATTCTCCATCTGTTGACCCTTCTTCCACTGCAACAAACTTTAATTTTTAAATATTTCACCCCTAAACACAGCTACGAACAAGAATTTGGGCGAGATTTTGGGTGGACTTAAGGTAGGGTTCTTCGACAACAATAAGGAAATATGTGATTCAATTTGGGCAAAAGGGGCTTCAATGAATGACATCGTTTTGCAGTTATTTGTATCACACTAGCTTCTAAAATGATGTCGTTGCTGCCAACTGGGATTCTAATGTAGTACTTAACGTGACAGCTTATTCTTCTGTGACGGTTTCTTAACGGAGTCTAACGTCAAGGACTAAAATGCATGACGGAGAAATAAGCTGCGGACTAATGTGATATTTTAAATGTTTCAGGGACTAAAATGTTGGACTCAAACTCAAGACTAAAATGCTAGTTTAGTCTATTATATTCACATGATTTTCCCCACTCACCAAACAGATAATTTCGGCCACAACATAGACAAAACTCTGTGCAAGTAAGTACACAATATCAAATTAATATGGCTACATCCAACATCTTACTGTAGATACTAATGATATTTTACAAACATAGGATACAATTGTAAGAGGTACATAGTTGTACTTGACTACAAATTAGAGGGTAGGTAGGATACACAATAAAATGGTAGCAATGAAAATATTTTTTTTTTTTGCAGCACATGTATGCAGGAGACATCATGCTGGAGCCGAATATGACAACTATGGATAGTAAAGTTCTATATCCGAGTTCTTAAAGCAATTGCATACATAGATACTTGAATTCGAAATTACTAAATAAGCTATATCAACTCCACGACAGATGATCCATGTGCTCGACGATAGGAATGACAATCTTTTGTGACATACGTAATATATCCCTCAGATTTGACTCCAATTTTATTTGTTCTGTTTGAACTTCAATTAAGCACACTGTAATAGTGATCTGGTTTGTCTCGCATCAGCAAATGCCATAGGGAAATTTCTCTTCTAGAGTTGTATTCACCAACAGTTGATTCAGAAACTTCAAAAATCATAAGTTCCTCCATTCTTAGTTACAGTAGATCACTGAGAAGATCTACCTAGTAAATGGTAGTCGTTACATGATTTGCGCCCGGAGTAGTATAGGCAAAACCTGCAATACCAATATGAAATTTTTACACTGATTTGGCTACTAACTAGTGCTTAAACTTAAAGATGTACAAAAACTAAGCTAGTGGTAAAATGGAACACATTACAAACTAATATCAAAATGTTTAAACATATATATCAGTGTGAAAAGTTACTTAAGATTTCATCACTTTCTTGTGTGTTCGAAGCCAGGTTGCTGCTGAATGATTACAGCTACGAGATCCATTTTGACTAGGCATAAATAGTTGTGGTTTCTGATGATTCTTCAAGAAAGTGCCATATGTAGGCTGTATTACTTTCTTGCGCCATGTGAGGCGTAATAGGTTAAGTGCTCATAGAGCATACATTGATAGAGAATTTGTTTTGTGCATTTGTAATTAACACAGCACAGACTCTGGCTAATTATTACTAGGTAAAAGTCTTTGGAGTAGATATGGTTTCTGATGATAGACCAATGGTGTGACTATATATGATTTTGCTTCCGAGTTAAATCATATAGCAAAGTTTTTCTAATATATTGCAACAGAAGAAACAGAAGTAGAAGTAGATGTAGCACAAGCCATCAACATGATGGCTAAAATAGTAGAAGCCACAACATCCCTTGCACCTTGTAGAATGATACTGATCAACTTAAATTGCGGTTGTAGTTGCATTGAGATAATAGAAATTAAGGACAATCGTGGAAAAATATAGTATGTGCCCACAATTGTGCTCTTTATACCATCAAGGAAACCTTTAAAACCGCAATAGATCAATATAGATCATTAACTCAGTTCGGAGATTTTGTGACCCCTACATATACCCTTTATGTAAGGACTCCCATAAGGAGGGCTAGCATGATCCAAACAAAAGCTAGCCCGCCTATGATAACCCACATGATTAAACATCCAGTGAAGAAAACTCTTGTCATTACCAAGAAACTGAGTGAAAAAGAGAGATACCCAATTTTCTCGACGATAAATGCAAGCCTTGGATAGGAATGTTTGATGAACATCACAGAGAATGACGCTGCAAAAGCAATAACCATAACAGCTCCAAGAATGGGAGGTTGATTTTGGGATGTAGACATTGTTTGATACCCTAAAGCAGAAAAGGTTAAGCAAACAATTTTTGGTGACAGACTTAAGGGACTCTGTGGCTTATAGTCTAGTTTTTCCAATTCAATAGTGTTTGCATAGTACAGTGGCAAGCAATCAGAACCATGGCTTTGAGGTAGTGCTAAAGTTAAGGACCTCATTCTGGTTACACTACTTGGTGAAGATAGTAAAGGGATGTTACCTTCATAGTGAGATCTTGGGAAGGCTATGCTTTTCCAAGCATTTCGAATTATTCTGCAGAAAAAAGAAGGGTTAGAAGACATGAAAAGAAATCAAAGGAGAACACTAATATCAAGTTCTATCAGTGCTCTTTATGATCAGTGTAAGTGTAGTTTTCTATTTTATAATGAGGTAAAGAACATTCAAGAATAGCCAAGTCTAGCTCATGAGCTAGTTCTCTTTCCTAGCAATTGTAGAAGTCTTTGGTGCTTGACTTGATTATCCACATTACAAACCTTTTGGAACCACTACCATGGAATATGCCTCATCATAGGAGACTTAACACCAATACCGTAATAAGTACAGGAGTGAAATCAATTAATAATAATGTACGAGTAGTGAAAGTGATTAAAAGATGAATCACACCACACCCATTCCAATCCATCAATCATAAAAATGCAACAGCTTATTTTGTCCTCAAAGAAATTGACACCACTTTGATCTTTATTAAAAAAAAGTGGGGATAACTAGATGTAGTACTGAGGAAACACCGGGGTGGGGTTGTGATGCCAAGAATCACGCCTTCTGTATTTCTTTCTCTTTTCTAAAACTCCTTTTACTTTATATTTCAAGCAATAACTACGATTATTTTTGGATTCAAGTAATTTTAGAAACTGTAAATTAAAAAATAAAAAAGGGGGTTAATGATAACGTAACTATCTAAAATGTTTTAACATGTTGATTTTTTTTGTGGGATAGTGCAATCAAAAGTGTTAAATTTAGAAAAATTAAAAACTATAATAAAAGATTTAAAGGAGCCAACATTAAAATCTGCTAAGAATGTAAAGACCAAAAAATATGTTTAAAATTTCAAAAATTTTTAAAAGAAATTAAACAATATAGATAAATTTTAAGACTAATTAATTTTAAAAAGATGTGTATAATTAATTTTAAAAGGTTAAATTTAAAATTCAAAAGATAATTATGAATAATATAGGTCATCATTTAAGAAAAACTAAATTAAGAAATTAATACATGGTGGGTACCTTGCTTTGCCTTGTCTCCTTCAAAAACCCTTTTCTTTTCCAAAGTTCATATACAGGGCATGTCAGTTTTCTTTCAAGAGTCTTTAATGAAGTTGGCTATCAAGTTCTTACATGAGGCAATACTCTGCTGCATAATTTTTGGTGCTGAAAGGTCATTGAAATTGAATATGAATGATTGCAAAATAATAATAATAATAATAATGCGAAGTGAGAGCACAAATCCCGGGTCAATGCTCCACCTGCACACTTATTAATGATAGTAGTATAAATAAATGAAATAATTTATTTATTTTTAAATATTTCTGCTCTCCTATATATGTTTGGGCCGTGCTAATTTTAACTTTTAGTATTAATTTTAAGTATTTAAAATTAGAATGTCTTTATTAAAAATATATTTATCATATTAAATTATTAAAATATGATAAATAAATTGTTAATAAAATTTTATTATTATTAATTCTTAAATTTACTCAAACTGAGATTACTTTATTTATTTATTATTATTCTTATTTAAATATTTTTAACATTAATATAATTATAAGAGAAAAAAATATTTTAAATGAAAAAAAATACTTAAATAAAAATAATAATAAACACGTTCATTTAGTTATTTTAAACTAAAAAATGTAAAGTATAAAAAACAATAATCTATATATTAATAATTTCAATTAGTATATTTTTCCCCTCAATAACAAAAGAAGGCCCATCATAGTCACACTAAAATTTATATTGTAGTAACCAGATGAAACTTCGTCGGTGTGTCAATTGTCCAAAAGTCCACAGTATTCCTTCATCATCTATTGCTTTGGACCCCATCTTAGCTTTGTTATCCCCATTTCTTTTTCTTTGGCATCATCTCCTTGAAGCTTCATATGAAAGAGACATAAACTCTACCATACCATATTCTACCGTGTACTTCAAAAAGCTTTCCACAAGTTTCCAAGAAGTAACTCTCAAATTTCCAAGAATTTAAGTGGGATAAGTGCTAACTATATAAATATATACACATATTTGTTTGAACTCCACAACATGTATATCCCATCCTAGAAATGAATGGTTTAATTGATCTCTTCATATTCTAACCGCAATGACTTTGGAAGAGAAGACCATTTATCAAATCCCTTTAGCCTCAATTCCTCACTACACCATTCTAGAGTGTGTCTTAGGACTATGCTTTACAACGATCACCATTCTCCTTCAACTTCCTTATGAGTACATAGATGAAAACCCAGTTCCCACCATAATCTTCAAGGGTCACCCAACAACCTTCCATGCCTTCATAATATGCATAATCTTTGCCTTCTCAGGTGCAACCAATGCACTTGTGGCATCCAATAAGTCAAGGTTTTCAATCTTTTGTGGGTATTATGCCATGGCTTGTATGGGTTCCGCTTTGGCAATTCTCTCATGGGCACTGTATTGCACATGTATCAATTAGAAAAGTTGGATTTGGTTCAGGAACTACTATAGCCAAAAGAGCGAGCTTATTGTGCTGTATCTTGAAGAGTTTTAGCTTCAAGTTCGTGTGAGGCAACTGGCATATGTGAGAGCCAGCAAGATAAAACTTTTGAATAAAATTTAAGTTATAATTGATTGATTATTTATTGGATAAAGAATTTTAATTGGTAAGGCAAAAACATTGAAGTTGATTATTGTTGCATATTAGAAGATATTTGTATAGTAGTCGTTATCACTGTTACACAGATTAAGTAATTGTCCTTGATCATGAGGTGTGTTTTACTCAGACATTTTAAGTGTAGACATTCTCCGATTGACCCAATCTAGTCCTGGAGCATTAGGGTATATATGGAAGGGTATTTTTTGTTTTACCAGTTTAAGGTAATTTTCAAAACTGGAAAAATATAAAATAACAATTTACTAGTTTAAAGTTATTTTTGTTATGTGATAAACCTTCTTATTTTTTAATATATATTTTTTTACGTCAATTTTATATAGCTCATATATGAAAGCTTATTTGAGGTAAGAAACTACAATGATAAGCAACTTTTAATATTCATGTGCATCATGCCTAATTCGAGATAAATCTGCTATTTTTTTCTTCTATTTGAGGGATCATGCACTCTCCCTCTCTTGTTTCTATTAATTTACGATCCTAATGTTTTTCTCATATTGAAAATGAAAATACGTTCACGTGTGTATTACTAAGAACGAAAAAATTGGAACGCGTGCAGCCCTCGCGCCACGATGGAAGAGAAACAGCTAAAGTGTGTGGGGACCAAACCAAGCTTACACCCCACACAAGCAACCTCACTCTACACAATCTTCCAGAAACACCCCTATATTTCAAAACAATTACCCGTTCTTTTCATATCTTCAAGTCATCTAAACTGTAATTTCACTGATTTTCAAATCCAGCTCTGCTTCTCATTGCTCACTATAAAACTGAAATCTCACACCTTCTCTGTCACACACACATATTCTGAAATGGCAACAATCACAAAGCACTCCAACCTCGTAGCTATCACCATCACAATCCTCGTACTGGGATTTACGACACTACCAGTCTCAGCAAAACAATGCGAATCGAAATACGAAGGCGCGTGTCACGACAAGAGCATGGCTCTCAAGTTAAAACTCATAGCAATATCATGCATATTAGTAACAAGCATGATTGGGATTTGTCTCCCTATATTCTCCCGTACGGTTCCTGCTTTGCAACCGGACCGAAACCTCTTCATTCTCATCAAAGCCTTTTCGTCCGGTGTGATACTTGCCACCGGTTACATGCACGTCATGCCTGATTCCTTCAACGACCTCATGTCGGATTGCTTGCCACAACATCCTTGGCGAAAGTTTCCCTTCACCACCTTTGTTGCTATGCTTTCTGCCATTTTCACTCTCATGGTTGATTCATTCTCTATTGGTTACTTCAAGAAGAAGCTCTCTCCTTCCCGCAATTCGTCGGAAGCTCCAATTGGTGGTGTCAATGATAAGGAATTGGAGCAATCTGGTCATAATCATGGCCTTGTAAATGGAAGTAGAAATGCACATCCAGATGTTAATGCAGAACAGTTGCTACGCTATCGTGTTGTGGCTCAGGTCAATTATTTCATTTATCTAATTAATATAATTATTGTTGGGATTATAAAATAATAAATAAATAAAATTATCTTTAGAATATTTTAAAAATTACAATAATGCATATTATTACCTGTTTTGGGGATAATGATTAGTGAAATTAGTGATATGTTGTGTGTAGGTGTTGGAGCTAGGGATTGTGGTGCACTCGGTGGTGATTGGTTTGTCAATGGGAGCTTCGGAGAACCCATGCACGATTCGGCCTCTCATTGCTGCACTTTGCTTCCATCAACTATTTGAGGGTATGGGCTTAGGTGGTTCCATTCTTCAGGTGATTCACCTCTCCTTTCTATTTTTTAATGCTTCATGCATGATGATATAATTTTAAGTACATTATAATATCAAAGAAATGATTGAGTGTTGTTTGTTATTTTTGTAACAGGCTGAATATGGATGGAAGGTGAAGGCATTTATGATATTCTTCTTCTCTTCAACGACTCCATTTGGGATTGCCTTGGGGATTGGGTTGTCGAATGTGTACAAAGAGACAAGTCCAACTTCGCTTATTGTGGAGGGGATTCTGAATGCCATATCTGCGGGGCTTCTGGATTACATGGCATTAGTAGATTTATTGGCTTCTGATTTTATGGGGCCTAAGCTTCAGGGTAGACTCAAGCTTCAGATTTGGTCTTATTTGGCTGTTTTGTTAGGCGCAGGAGCCATGTCAGTGATGGCAATATGGGCATAGAGACACTTATTCATTTTTGTATTAGCACCACATTTTTAGTTTTAATGAGCGCTTGAAAAAACACAAAAAGAGAATAGAAAAATTGCGATTACACTTCATCAACATTGAAAACTGATTTCCTTGTTCATAGCTGATGGAGGCTCTTTTCATGATTATGATAATCGATTGTTGTCTTCTTTAGTGATGTTGCATTTTATCGGGTCAGTCCAATTAATTTAATCTTTTAACTTGTCATGCACTATGTTCATTCTGTTTAACACCACCTAAGATAAACGGTAAACTCAGTGCACCATTAGGAAAAAAAGAAAAAGATTAGCGTAATGCTTAGTGTAAAGTTTAGAGATGTTGGATGTGGGCTCCTTCCCATATGGATAAAGGCCCAATGGTACAAGCCCATTGTTAGTCTCACTTATTAAGTAGAGAAATGTTAAATTCATATTGACCAAAAACATAAATGCTAAAGTCATGATAAAAAAAAAAAAAGGTGGTTAAATTAGGGTCCGAAAGAGGGTCAAGCGAATATGCCTGTTTTTTGGTCAAGAAGTGAATGCAACTTGAGAGAGGAGAAGAGGGAAAATTCTAGTTCGCACAAACATAGGGCAATTTCAGGAAAAGTTGCAACTTGCAAGTGCTCAATTGTCTGATTGGGCTATTTTGTGGAGCATAGTTTGTTGGTCTTGGAGACCTATTGTTTTTTTACCCTTAATTTTAAGACTTTTACCTTTATTCTCGACCAGAAAAAAGGATTTTTTTACATTAAATTTTTTGTCTTTTAATGTTATTGTACTATTTATTTTTCGCAATACTCTTTTTAGTTATTTATCACATACTCTTATTAGTAGAGATACTCTTCTGCTGCTATTGTTAATATCCTCCATAAAAATACTAAATTAAAATAAAAGATAAGTTAAAATTCAATAAAATTAAAAGAATGAAATACTAATCTTACCATTTTATCCAATCTCTTACTTTTGATCGTTGAACCAATCGGTTTAATTTGAAAACTGGTGACCAGTTTAATCTAATCAGTTTAAATAATGACATAATCAAGTACTAGAATACATCACCTTATATATGTTAACTATGCTGCTAATCTCTGCTACATTTTTGTCTTTATTAACTTGATGTGCTAATTGAATTATATAAAAAATTATCGACATTAACAGTATATTTGAAATTGAATTTTATTAATTAATTTAGCTTTGATTGTCCTTTATTTTACTATGAATATAATATATTTCTTTTTTATTAATTTAAATTTTATTATTTACTTTAAATATAGATATTTAATTGTTATCAACTATACATTGAATTAACCATAATTGAATAAATAAACATTAAATAAATGTCTTTGCTTAACTCAATAACTGATTTAATTTTAAAAACATTATGCAACACAAAAAAGGGGTCTTTTAACATATATTATTCAAATGGATTGTGAAGGTTAGTTGGGAGTTAAGAATTTAATGAATAGTAGAGTGATTGATAGGAGATGGTGGTTTCACATGGTGTACTTTCTCCCTATCATTTTCGAAACCCTGTTTGAATAAGTTTGCTGCCTCGCACCAGTTGGCTAGCTTATTGTTATCAATCACTGACTCCAAACAACTAACATGAACGCTGAAAAATTCAACAGCTTAACAATTAAAGTAAGGACCATTGGATGCTAGAAAGTAGATGGTTAAAGTGTGTGCTTAAATTTATATTAATCACTATAAGCTTACGTTTATTTTAATATTATTAAATATTTTTTTTTATTAAATCTACTTTTATAAACTTATTTAACATATTTTTAAATACACACTGAACTAAAATATGGTTGACTTAGGAGCCTTAGCCATTACAATACTTAGCGACAAGACATATTTAAAAGGGTTAGTGATGGAAGGTCATTAAGATAGGTGAACACATCACAAGACTTAGAATCTAGAATTGTAATGTAGCTAGTGATTGCAGGCAAACCTCATAATGTGGATATATTTTGTTCATGGGTTTGAGAGAGAGTTGTCCCATTCATAAACGGGAAGGACGCGGTAGGACTCTGTCTCCAAATGCAATCAAAAAGACATTCATTACCTCTTGAGACCTTTTGAATACATCTTTTTAGCCCTTAGGAGTTGTTGGTTTACTTTGTTCTATGATTTAACACTTTTCTATTGGTTCATACATTTTCTCTAAGAAGATAGTAGTCTGAAATACCATCTCATGGACCACACATGAAGCACTTGTTAAATTGTCTTTCTAGAACTGTTCTACTCCTATTTCCCCCACTAGCTACAAGCTAGTTAGGTAGCTGATTGTTTTTTAGAAGAGAAAAAACCACTTGAATAATGAACAAATTATTGCGGCAATAATTAGTTGAATGTTTTTAAATGTTAAAAAAATTACCGATTTGAAGAATGGTTTATTTATGGAACAACGAACGCCACTAAAATAAGAAAGGTGGGTTATATTTGCTAACATGTATTAAAGAGTATTAGTTGATAAAGTAATTAATAAATATTGAAGACTATAAAAATAGTGTTTTACCAACAAAAAAAAAAGTGTATTAAAAATTATGGTAAAAAATATTTGTACACTTTCACATTTTTTATTATTGAATTGATATTTTTTAAATTTTATAATATTTATAAGACTTAAGAGCGAGAGATATGCGAAACAAAGAGAGAAACGCTTCGTCAATATAAATATTAATTGATGAGATGTATTTAATAGGAAAATTTAAGCAACAAAGTAAATTTTAATATAGGCAATAAATTAATTTTTTATAATAATAATATTATTATTACTATTATTATTAAGTTTTAAATATTTATAAATAATTTGAAATTCAAAGTTGGTAGCTTTGTGTCCTTAATCTTGTAAGAGTAAATGAATTTGGTTCATATTTTTAAGTGACTTTTGTTAAATATTGTGTTGTCTACTAATAATTCAACTTAACATCATCACACTTCTTCTAAACATTATTGCCTAAATATATATTTTTATCTTCGTAGATATCTTAAAGTTTGATTTCAATCTCTAACAATATTTGTATTTGCCTTTATTCACTTTGGATGTAAAAGTAATGATTTTGATGCGTGTTATTAAGTGACTGTTATTGATGTTGAATTAGTTAATATGTATTAGTGACTAGAGAAGGAAGCATTGAAGGGATGCAAACAAAGAGACAAAATGAAGTAATAATGAGACACTATAATACGAGTATGTGAGGAGGTAAGCCAAAAACGTAAGAGTGAAACTATAAAAAAATTAGCTTGACCAAATAATTTATTTTAATTTTTTACGATTTGAAAATCTTATAAATAGGAATTATGAAAATTAGAATAAACAAGTCAAATATGAATATAATTTCAATTCTTTATTTGTGAGAATTTTTTTATTAATAATTAATTAAGAATTAAAGTTTATAGTATTAATTTTACTCACAAATTATTTTCAGATTATGCCTGTTGATAACTTTAATTTTATTAGTAAATTAAGGTTAAGGTCTTTCAATTCTTTACCACTTTTCAAGATAATTTAATTTCTATTATGTTTTCATGTTTATATCATTTAATATAAAAAGCTTTAACTTTTAGAAATATAATGTTCTATTTTGTTTTTGTTTTTTTATTTTGTATCATAAAAAAATATTTGGTTACAATTTTTTTGTCTTTGTCTTATTTTATTTATTTATTTTATTATTTTTCTATTTTTTTGAAAAGAAAATATGTACACACGCATTTAAGAACTTAGAAGGACAATTTGAGAGGTTAAAGAAAAATGGTGAGATTATTAAAGGGTAAAAACTAAAAATTAAATGAAATACAAAAGATTAAAATATTAATTCGAATATAAACACGTAAAACTGTATAAATATGAATTTTTTTTTTCAAAACATTTTGGAGTAGAAGAAGAATAGCTTAAGTACAAAAAACAACAATTACACGAGTAACATTAAGACGACAACATGTTTACATTTCAAATAAAAAATAATCCTGAATTATAGTTGAGGGGAGAAAAAAAATTGATCATGTCTTTAATTGTTATAATTACTTGAAAAAAGATTATATTAGTTTTTATATTTATTAATTATATTAATATCTAGTAAGATTAATTTGTGACGAACAAACATAGAAATGAAGAAAGACCCAATGTGGGCTCAAATTTTGTAAATTTCAAAACTAGAGGGATTTAAGTAACTTAAAAAAAAAATTGAGAAATAAAAATCAAACTAGAAGAGCAAGAATTTCATTAATCTTACAAATTTTTATATTTTATTTTTCATTAACCTTACTTAATGAAATAAAAAAGAAGGTTTACTGTAGGTGTATTATTGCATTAACATTACCCACATGTTGTAGTCTCACGTTTAGAGTTGTTTATGAATTTCAAATTAGGCACGGAAGGGTGTGTGGGGGCAGTTGCTGAAGGAAATGCCAAAAGCTTAAAAGTTGACGTGCTTACGCCACTTATTATTCTGTGTTAGGTTCAAAGAGAAGGATGATAAGCACGCCATTTCCACATAATAATGGCTTCTGCTATGCTTTTCAATTTGGTGTCACTGACAAATTGGCTTATCCTTGCTCTCCATTCGAACTTGTGCTTTCTTTTACGTGGAGATTCTCCTTCTTCATTCTTCTCAAAACTAACCTCTATATTTTATACCTCTTTTCTCTCTCTCTCTCTCTCTCTCTCTCTCTCTATATCTAATGCTACATGTCACCCAATATATTATCCACAAACATCTTTCTATTCTTGCATTTGGGTTAGCCCCTAACATGCAAACAGATTTCTCTTTAAACATGTGGATCTCCTTTTTTTTCTCAATTGTTTTTAAGACAAATATTGAAAGTGTCTGCAATACAACCTTTCAGTATTAAGGTGTTCAAGTTAAATATTATAAATTATATCTATATAATTTTACTCGTATTTATTATGAAATTTTTCATAGGAATATTCATCAAATATTAAACCCATTATTATATTTAATGTATTAAAATATATTTTCTAAAAGA